TTTTTTTTTTTTTTTTTTTCTTTTTTCCTTCCTTTCATGACGCTCTCTTTTGTCTCGAGATCTCGATCTTATCGCTTTTCACCGTGTCTTTTCTACACCGAGAGTTCGCACACAGCGTCTGTCACGGTGTGACAGCAGGGGTGGGTTCGACTGCTTTCTTGTTCTTTTCGCTCGTAACTTTCTTTCTTCCTCCGTTTCTCTTCCTTTCTTTCCCTTTCTCTACGTATCGGGACAAAAGGCGCGATCGTGTGCTCGATCGTTCTACCGATACCATTGCGACACGCGGATCGAATACTCGCGCACCAGCGCGTATACGGTACATACACGCGTGCCTCTGAGACGGTACGTACACGCACACACCCGGATGATGACTCGCTAGCGAAAGAAAAGGCGACAGGACGCAACACGGGGAGGTTAAATTGTTAATCCGGTTCGGCCGCGTGGTGGAACCGGTGGAAGAACCGAGCATAATTTTCGGCAGGTTTTCCGAGGGCCAAAATGGCAAAAGGACGTCGGCGGGAGGGTCGTCGAGGGACAAAAGATCGTTCTCTCCTGGCTCGTTTCGATCGTTTCGCCCCGACCCTCTCCTCCCTTTACCGCCCCTTTGCCCCGTCAGCTTTCCCGCTCTTTTCCCCCTCTCTTTCCTCTCTCGTTCTCCACGCTTTTTTAATTTCCGTTCTACGATACGCCCTTGCCCGTTTCTCTGCCTTTTCTCCTCCTCTCCTTTCTCTCCCTCCTTTGTCCTCTTTCTCTTATTTTTTTCTCCCTGTTCTCGCTCTTTCTTCCTCTCGTTTTAATCCGGCTTGTTCTTACCGCATCGACTTCGACGGGGAAGGAAAATGCATGTGTACACTGTGTGCCCCTCTGCGAACCCTTTTTCTCCCTCTTTCACGCACACGCGCGCCTTCTCCCACTCCCACCCTCTCCATTCTCCACATTCGTTTGTCTATATTCTATTTATCTTTTCTATTTTTCCTTTCTACCATCGCACGAGACTCGAATCGATTCATTTTCCTTTCCTCATATTATTGTTCTTTTCTATTTTTCTTTTTTCTTTCGTATTCTATTTCGTTTCGGTTTTAATTGGTCTTTCGAAGGAGAAAGGATCGTGTGGACACTGGTCATCGAGGGGAAAGTTCGGTGAAAGGAGGCTCTTCGATTCTCGAGGACCCGGTCTCCCCGTTATCTCGAACAGATCTGTCCCTATAAACCGGCCGGAAGCCGGGTTTTCCTTCTCTTATCCTAACCAATATCATCGTATCTGCTTATATGTCTGCTTGTAATAATCGATCGTTTTACAATCTGGATGATCCGCCACCTACGGCTTACCTTGCGAAGCTCTTGAACGCCGCGGACTGCGGATTTATGCAGAGCGGCACGCGCGACGTGTTCAGCTGTTCCGCTATAAATTTGTGCATTTCCTCTGAAACAGACAACGTCGGATTGTCGGGTGAATGCTGGTTCTACAGACTCTCCTGCACCGGCGAGATGGACACGGCGGATCGAATTCGCCCGAGTCCTCGCGCGTCGGGCCCCCGGGGACCAAGCGTCGTCCTCGACAACCTCTCGGGGAGAACCACGATTCGGCGTTAACGCTTTATCGCTTTATCGTCGATATTAGATCGTACTCGCGTTTTCTCCGCGTCCTTTAAATCCTCGAATTCCAACTTCCGCGAAGAATCACGCGGCGTTTCACCCCGAAGAACGCTCTTCGAATTTAGCTCCGGGACCCCCCGATTTCCATATTCGTGGTCCAGTCAGAGATCGCAAAAATTTTTCCCGATCAATTTACGATTATTTATTACTAAAATCGACGAATTTTCCAACAACCGTTTCGGTATCCAATCATAGAAGAATTCTTTGTTCGCGGCCATAACGATTCGCGCGTTTCGTCTTGCGACACCTTTCGTGGACACGTGCAGCCGTCCGCGACTGTTCCAGTCGGGACAACACGGCAAACGCGATTACTCGTTACGAGCATCGCATGCCAGCCGTATGACAAAGTCGAATGCGAAATCATTCGCGTTAGACGCGCTGTCTATGATAATCGCATGGTCGTATTACGCAGCGCGGACTCAATAGGCGTAATTTATGCGAGATCGTGCCCCGGTCGACGTTAATGGATCGGAAGGAGATTAATATTTTCAGCGAAATGTCGATTACGATCGAATATTTTCTGCAAAATCACCACTTCGACTCGGATATTACGGCTGCTCGAAGAAGTTAACCGTTTCAGTGCCAAGCAACGATTTTGCGCTTCTGTTCCGCTCGGAGAGTGTCAGCGCTCTAGGCTGCGAAGCCTGTAATTATAACACGCTTGGTTTCTGTCAATGCGCAATTTTACGACTACCGTTTCGTTTTAGGTAAGTTAAAATAAAATTAGAATAATATTACACCGTTTCATTCTTCTAAACAACGGATGTGACTACTTGTGCTCAGAAGGATGTCAAAACAACGCTGAATTGAAAGAATTACGGCTTGTCGCATTTGACAAAAAACAGCTCAATAGCACTGTTTTGCACTTCCGATCGGGGAATAAAACAGGCGCAAAAGCACTCCTTGGACAGGGAAACAACAAGACCCGTGGCACTCAAACTTCACCCGGGACACGAATCAATCCCTGACGACTCTCACTCGCGGATCTAAACAACGTCCCACAAGAAAAATTTTAATTTCGACTTACAACACGGAAGATCTCGAAATAAGAATCGCGAGTAACGTAGCAAGTTTTAATTTTTGCTTTAACTCCGACACGATGTTAAAACAGCGATTGCGAGTGCGAATACGAATGCAAATGCACAGTCGGCGGTGTTAAAAGAAGCAACAAAGCAAGGGGCGGAGAAATCTAAATACCGAGTACGTATCTGGACGCGAAATCGCGGACCCCCGGCGGGGGATGGAATTCGCGCCGCGGAGGGTCCGCGGACCGACCCCCTCCCCCCGCGGAACAGGCCTAACGCACGAATAGCGTGCGTTTTTTAAACGCGATATTAGACCCAGTTTCTTGGACGATTAGCAAGGAAGAAAGTCGGCGGCGATAACTCGCCGGACCCCCAGTGATAAACGATGATTTATCGCGGCCGGACCCGCGGTCGCACGCAACCGTCTATATCGCGTGGCCGTGTGTGTGTCACCGTGTGTGCCACCGTGTGTGCACGCGTGCGGTTCCAGCCACGTGTCCAAGACGTTCGCTATTAATAATCCGCGTGAGTCACGGCGACGCATTTTTCAACGGGGCGCGAAACCCGCGATTAATCCGGCGCCGTGTCGCGAGCTGTTGGCAAACTCGCCCTTTCGCTAATAATTCTCCGCTCGTTCCGCTCTTTATTAGCATTCGACGAAAGCTGCTCGTTACTGGACCACGAGTACGGGGGTTAAATCCGGGCTGGCCGCGTTAAGATGGCGCGGGGCCCTCGTACGAATGGCAAATTCACGAGACCGGTGGTGCATACGGGGGTTTGATATTTCATTTTTGCAAGATCTACAGATCGTATTAACACTTTAATGGTCGCATGTGTATGCAGTTAAACGTTGCTAGAGGCAGGCAATTTTTAATTTCATTTAATTTAAGTTTTGAAGAATTAATTTAACCCGTTGCACTCGACGATTATTTGGCTAAAGAAGAACAGGATTTCGAAGTGTTTTATTACAAAACTGAGGATGTTTTTACCTGAGCAGCGAATAAGAAGTCGTATGATAATTAACCCTTTGCACTCGTGAGGTGAGCTTCAAATTGTTATTAGATCTAATAATTAAAAAATATACAGAAATTAAAAATAAAATTATTAAATAAAAAAATCGGTCACCATTTCATAAAATTTGGAAGATCGATGTTGATTAATATATCAAATTTAATGTAATGTCACAGTGTGCGAAGTATCGAAGTCAAATAATTCTGCAATTCTGTTATTGTACAAGTCTTTATTTACTGCTCAAAAAAGTATCGTCAGTTTTTTAGTAGAGAATCTTTGAATTTCTATTCTTCTCTAACCAAAAAATCATCGAGTTCAAAGGGTTAACACGTATAATTATTTGATTTCGATACCTCGCACATCGTTACATTATCTTAAATTTGATATATCAACCCTTTGCGCTGTGCCCTATAGTCGCCATATGACAAAATTTCGAAACTCGATATTCATAAATATGTCAAATTTCAGATAATGTAACGGTGTGCGAGGTATCGAAATCAAATAATTCTACGTGTTAATTATCACACGATTTCTTATTCACTGCTCAGAAAAATATGGTCAGCTTTGTAACAGAAAATCTTTCAACTCCTATCCTTCTTTGGTCAAAAAATCGTCGAGTGCAAAGGGTTGATGAATATCGAGCTTCGAAATTTTATCAAAGGGTTAACACATTGAGCACCGGCAGCATATGAAACATTTAAAACTTGAATGTCCTGTTTCCGAACAACGAGTAGCTAAAGAAAATATTTCAAATTTATACATTTCCTTAAAATTCTATATTTTGATTACATATTCGTCATTCTGTGGACATTTCGCTACTACTAGAATCATCGAAATCACTCGAATATTGTAATGGAACAGCTCCTGATATTCTCCTAGGACCCAAGTCACAATCACTGTTCTCGACTTGCATGTCAGAATCTTCTGAATGTATCGAATAATATGATACAGGGTCAGCAATATACTCGTTAAAAACTTCACTCGTATTATATGGATAAAAAGTTACAGAATAATAAGACTTATTACATTGTTCAACAAAAAGCGTAAATCTACGAAAGAGGTAATAACTAAGGAATACACTGCTTGAGACTGATTCTTACTTTGATTGTTTCTCAACCATCGTATACGTTTTATTTTCTTTTCGGAGTATAACAAATGCAGATTGTAGTAAACCTGACAAGTGAATGTAAATGGATATGTAAGACATCCATACAGGCAAAACAAAATCCTCATAATCGTGAGGGCGAGAGTCAAGTGACAAACTTAGAAACCCGTGTTTTCACGGGACCGGCGCTCAATGTGTTAAAAACTCTCTATTTAAAATTCAGAAAACAATAACAATTTAACAACAAATTTAATATTTCTTCTTTGCGCGATAATTATTAATTATTAATCCGAGATTGCATCACACACGTGTTGTGTGAGCGGACAATAATAATTGTTCCGGCTATCACGCACATGTTGCGCGAGCGGCCATTAAAGTGTTAAGTAATATCAAGTTCGCGGTACCCCACCATGACGAGATTCCTCGCCTGACAGTGGCAAAATAAATTCCCCACAATCATTTGCTATAACTCGCGAGGTTCTTGGCTCGAAATTCATATCTCGAAATTCGTTCTTTTCTTTCTACGTTTCGTCGAATGGAACATTTGTCTATGAGAAATTTCTCGGGGTCGATGCAGAACCATGGCGAGCGATAAGAAACTGTCCTCTGGTTTTATTACGACCGCACCGCCAAACGAGTTCATCCCTCAGACGCCCGGTCTCGTAAATTCGCCGTACACCAAACCCCGCGTCTATGTCTCTACACTCGCTCCGCTTGCGAATTTTCCGCTGCCGTGATTCGAAAGTCGCAAGCTTCGCGTATTCTCTCGAAGGAATTCCGCGAATATTCGCCAACGAGCCCGTGAAATCCGTCCTCGTCGTTTGACTTTGTAAATCTCGCGATGGGAATTGAATTAGAACCCGACGGAATAAAAGACGTCCGATTTTGGGGATAATTTAATAATCGTCACTCGAAGCCATTTAAAGACCGTTCATTCGTCGATCTCCTCTTACCTTTCACCTGCTGCACGGTGGTGAGCTTCCGTTCCCAGAGATCGTCGAACGGATGGGACGTGGCCGGCTCGAAGTCACCCGTATACTGTCTCAGGCCGCCGCTGGTCGTGTAGCAGCACGTGCACATGCACGAGTGATATCTCAGTCTCCCTTCGTCCAGATAAGGATGCGCCAGTGCATCCACCACGGTGATCCTCTTGTCCTGCGGGAAGTTCGTGAACGGGGTCAACGAACGATCGATACGACGCGGGCCGCCTCTCGAAAACGATCGATCTCGGCGACTCCGGCTATTTACGGGGACAGTTAACCGTGTTAACCTCCCAGGAGGTGGGAAAAACCGAGCTCGAGCACGGTTGCGGGCAAAAACGAATTTACTGCCGGTGGTCGAGCGGATTTTGCTCGCCAGAGATCACCGGCGAATCGTTGCTCGATCGTTAATAAGCGCGTCGCACTCTGTGCTACTCGGAGATTAGCAGACGTGGATGAAGTCTCGTGAACGAGTAATTATTAAGAAATAAGTCGAGCTTGTGAGTTCTTCGCGACTCGCGAATCGATGATCGACGATCTACCGCCTATCTATATTAGACCGCCATTTGTATTTATTGCACACACGACAAAATCCCGAAAAAGTTGAAAATAACAGGAGACTCCTAGTCTTCATATTTTCCGCGACACCTTCGAACTTAACACGTTCACGCTGACGTGTACCACCGATGGCTCACACTCGAATGTTTCATCCGAACAAGAATTTAGCGTAAACTTTTTATCGATATCGTGATATCACTTTCTTCTAATTCACTTACACCACTTTCAAAATAAACGGTTAATATACTAACCCTTATCGGTCGTAATACACCTCTCACGTGACAACAGTACTTTGTCGCTGTGGTCGTGCGTCACGTGGGAGCTGACAAGACTGAAATCTTTCGCATATTACCAGCTACCACCTTGTGAGAATCATGTATGAAAAGCTAGCGACCGATAAGGGTTAAAATGGCAGCCTAGGGCGTTTGAATACGCGCGCCACCGGATAAAGTAATGTACGACTATGCGCGCCGCCACACGGCGAGAAACATAAAAATTAGTGCCAGCGTGAACGTGTTAATTTCTCCGATTCTGCTTCCGCGTTGCTTCCGAGTTCCTCCAGGTTTCCGTTCGAGAAACTTTGATTTGGATTGTACAATAATTAAGCCTTGGATGGAACCGCGATTTCCTCTCGTTCCCCAGTAATGGCGATGTAAAGTTAGGTATCGCTCCAAGACGAAAGGATTGGTAAAAATTCGACAAGTGGTAGCGATTTTGTAACTTGCCGAACGACAAATCGACGATCGTTGTACTTCTTGCGAAAATAATATTGGAATCTCGTGTATATTATTCGCGCAGCCAAGGTAATTCCCCGTTTGTTACTCGAAACGGCCACTCGAGCGGCCATTATTCGACCCGTTCGGTCGGTAAACACTCGAGGCACGAACGTTAGCTCGTATAGAACGATCGCGCGCGATTTTACGCCACCAGCGCCGCGTCGCGGGAACCATCGGAACAACGAGCTCGAGGACCGGGATTCAGAGAAGTAGGCTACGTGTTCCCGCGCTTTAGTAAGTACCCAGCGAACCCACAAAGTCTGATCTCCTTTGATCAGAGCCAATAACGTCGGAGACTCGTTTAACCGAAATTCTGACGAATGTGACGCGTACTACTCGTGGTAAAAACATCGTGTCGCGAGACCGACGCCGACGCTGACGCCGGCCACTCCTCGCGTTCCCGTTTCTCCTTTCCTCTGTCCTTTTATCTCGTCTCCTTTTTCCCCGTCATGGTCGTGGTCGTGATCGTGGTCGTCGTGATCGTCGCCGTCGTTTTTCTTCCGAGTCGGACAGGACAGTCGACAGTAAAGATTTTATTGCAAGTTTCGTTATGAACACGGTGTTGGCGAGAATTTTACGATGTCGCGACCCTCGTTCCAAGTATTTTTTATGAACTGCCACACGTGGAACGTTCTCCAGTCGTTTATCCCGTAGTTATTATTTCTGCTCCTTCCCTTTCGTTCCTCTTACTCGAGCGGCGAAAAAGGCGACGAGCAATTCATCGCCGGCGCAATCGCGAGTTCGCGAACTTTGCGAGTTTCTCGAATGGAACGGGCAACGGTTTCGACGACTTATCGCGTCGCCACGGACGTCGATAAGGGTGGTTAACGACTGATAACGTTGCGCTTCCACCGCGAGAACTTGCGCGCTTCTCGGTAAACAGAAGACGCGAGTTTGCAACTCGGCTGAGATCCCAGACGCGGTTTGCTTCTTGCTGGCTGACCAACTTTCCGAGTACCTCGACGGGGCTTGCCTCCAACCGGTATCGATGACGATTCTTAACGATTCGCTCGAGGAAAGTCCGTGAAACGGTATTTACCCGCGGTACGTCTTAGAAAGTCAAGTCGCAAGTTTAACTCTTGTCTAATTCCTGTCATTTTTCCTTCCTTTCCCCTCCGAATGAAACGAACTAAAATTTCTGTCGTCACTTGGACGTTTCCTCTATCGCTTCGACTTTCGATCGGGGAATCGCGATGTTGGAGAGAAAAGAAAGAAAAGGGAAGCATCCCCCGTGTTATTTCCGTTCGTACTCGTTTGACAGCGAGTAGGGGATCGATAAATAAATATTCGTAGACCGAGAGACGGGAAACTTACAGGATCGAAGACTAGCATCTGGCAGAGCAAATGGACGGCCTCGTGCGTCGCCTGGCTGCTAAGGGTGTAGAGGGCCGTCAGCGAGGGTGGCTTCGGTGCGCGCCTCAGTATGTGGGATCTCGCACCCTCGCACGCGAACCTCATGTCCTCGAGGGTCGGCGTGCCCAGCAATTCCGTGATCAGTTCCAGCTGCAAAGCGAATGAGAACGTGCTCGATTTTAGAACGTAGTCCCACCACCCTTCGTTACTTTTCCACCACGACGAGCTTTACGACCTCGTACAGGGACGAGAACGAGTACGTTACGGAACGACATCTCCGTAACTTTCACTCGGATGCTCGTGCGTGGATGGACACGCACCTTTACCCGACAGCCGACTCCATTCTCGTGGACTTTCGTCGACAGGTATTTAGGCAAGTTTTCAATCGCAATTTTTCAATCGCAATTTTTCAATCGCAATTTTTCAATCGCAATTTTTCAATCGAAGCTGAAGAGAAAACAGGTTGGAGAGTGTTGCAGTGAGAAACTAAATACTAAAATGAACTGTACATCCTAGGTATGAGGGAGTGATCCCTTCCCCTGCGTTTTGCCTTTTGACAGCGCGTGGCTTTTGTCTTCCATTTTCTAGAGACGTCGTTGACTTACGTGGTTCTAAATACACAGGCCAATTCTAACCGTTCGCCCCTTTAACCCTTTCACTTCGGCAAAAGTTCAGTCGTATCGTTACGAAACGGTAACGCATTCCAGAAACATGCACAGTGTGCATGGTTTCTGTATATACGTTTTCCTAAGTCTTCACCCTTTCCATACGGAGGAGCTGGTTATGGTTATACATTCGTGGTACGAGGAAGCTTTCCATAAGAGTGGTTACGCTGTACAGCATCAATCTCGACTGACAATAAACTTTTCATTTGTACCGCGACAGTCATCGGTGACGTTTCGTGGATGCCGCCAATAGGTAGTACCCAGAGAACGTTTCATGACCGCCAATGGGTGGCAGTAGTACCGAAAGGGTTAAATAACAACTATACTGAATAAAACAATCGTATACAGATTGCACTTGTATATAGATAATTTGGATGCCGGATATATGGAGTGCCCGTACCCACAGGTCATCTCGTGGACACTGTCTATAAGCTCGAAGCGAAAGGGTTAATAAATATCTACACAATTTTTCCAGCGTTTCCATTGGCTACTATTTCTTTGCATTATAATCCCTTAACCACTTACGCTGCAAGAGATTCACAAACGCGTGTGCCAGAACGGTTTCTGTGACAATTGCCTGACCACGTGTATACCACGTCGTTGGCGATTCTGCGACAAAAACGTTACGACGTGCGTGGCACGTCTTTCCAGCGCAAGTGGTTAACATCTTTGACTGCCATGTTGGTCATATATGACCGGCCACGGTTTCTCCTGTGACGCCACGGTGGTCATCGATGACCGGAGCGATTGAACTACTTGAACTACTTTGAACTATATCGAATAAAAATTGTCAGTTGGTGCATTTTGAATATAACTACTAATTAGAATGTACTTTGAAATAAAAAGTGCTCCACTGAACGATTAAAAATTTTTGTTACAACATCAATGAATAGAATGAGACAATCTTGCATCTAGCGGTGCACTTTCGTGACGATTTGAGGGAAACACGTGATCTCGGCGTGGCAGTCGAAGGATTAACAGAAAAACTGTTTGTTTGAAGCAGAGGAACGTGAAGATTTCGAGTCCGTTACTCGTCGGCTGATCGGACATCGTGGGAAGGAAAAATTCCTTTGGTCATCCTAGAAACATCGGCGAAGAATAGCAAGTGCGGGGATTAACGAGGACTAACCTGTTGCACAGGACTATGTGCCTGGAAGAGGATCCGCCGACGAAGGAGCTCGCCGAAAATGCAACCTACGCTCCAAACGTCCACGGCGGCTGTGTAGTGTCGCGCTCCCATCAGGATTTCCGGCGCACGATAATACTGCGTCACCACTTCCTGGGTCATGTGCTTGTTCTGATCCGGCTCTTCCACTCGGGCCAAACCGAAGTCGCAGATCTGTTCGCGGAGAATACGTATAATTTTCTCGCCAGCGACCGTGTCGACCAATCGATCGCTTTCTCTCTTTTTCGTTTCACAGCTTTCGGGTTAGAATAGTGGTCGTCAATGGTCGTCAAACCCGGTTAGTCGGCTTACCTTCAGTACGCAATTGCTGTTCACGAGCAGGTTCCCTGGCTTGATGTCCCTGTGCAGGATTCTGGCCGAGTGAAGGTATTTGAGGCCTGGAAGAAGCAGAAGAAGAAAATATTGAAATCTCGATCGCTAGTCTCTCGACAGATTTCCATTTTCAACCCTTCAAACACCCTCGAAACAACCCTTTGCGGGCGGAGAGGTTTTGAGTATACTGTGAGGGCCAGTCGCTGTCACGATAGTCATTCAAACCTACCATCGCTCATTTCTACTTAAACGCAATTTTCGTTCATAACGACGCTAGCAATAAGGGCATAAAACAGTCCACCACTTAACCCTTTGCGTCGGAGAATTTTTCGTTACATAAAAATAGTAATTCGAAGACTTTCTGCCATAAAGTCGACGAATATTTTTAAAACGGTAAACAAGAAATCGTTGAGTAATTTTAAATTTGATATATTAGTTAACAATGATCAAAATGGCGACTGTGGGTCGCCTACCGAGTGCAAAGGATTAACTTGGGACGTGCGTTTCTAGGGCCGTAACTACATTTTTCTGGGCCATAGCAACGCGTTTACGTGGGACCCTTTTTATGAGTCCTTTGACTCTATAAGTTCTTGAAAGAAAACACGAATTTGTTAATACAAATTACTATACGTAAAGTGGGGTTTACTAATAATGTAACAGTCAGAACCGGACGAATATTCTCTAAAGTAAAAATTCTCTTTACTCGCTAAACTAACGCTCTCGTAAACTCTCTAAAAGGAACTCTCGAAGGAACTTTCTAAACCAACTCTCACGAAGGAACTGTTTTGCCTGCGCCCTTGTACCCTTATTTAAACCATTCATTCTGTCCTCATCTATACCCACGTTCTCTTTCTCAATCGGTCGGTCACGTATCCTAAACACTCAGGCGCATTCATAGACTTTCACTTGTTTATCGCATTCGGCTCTGTCACAAACATCCCTTACATTCGATCCTCTTGCACGCGGTCACTTTCTTTCCAAGCCCAAACACACTTAACCCCTTGACATACAATGACGTCTGGGAGACGTCATTCATTTCATGTGCCATTGTAGACTTTCACGTCTCGGAAACGTCAAGAATTGTCTTCGGCGAACGTCGCGCAGTATATTAGATTCTTTACCTGTTTCAATCGTGCGTGGGTGCTATTTTGTTTAAAAAATTTGGCACATTTTCCCGAACATATGCCTGCGACAAATAAAAAGCAACATCCTGCAAACAGATGCCATGCATGCATCAAACATAATATAAGAATTACAACATGTCCGATTCCACTACATATTCCAAAATATTTTGAGATATATCATACTTTACAGAACTACTAGATTATTATTTTATAGTATTACTTAATTATTATACATTAACGTTATATATCAACTTTATTGTTTTATTTACATAGCGTTAAATTTGAAAATAAAACGTTCTGTTTCTAAGCTTGCACATGAGTGTCCACAGTTGAGCCAAATTAAATGCTATTCTATAATATAAATGCGTCGGTGTGCATTTTATTTGTATGTCAAGGGGTTAACATTCTTTCAGGCCTTATATTTCATTCCCACATACATTCTTACATATATTACTTTATTTATAATGAATAATGTTGGGAATTTCGTGAAGGAAAACCAAATGATTAACGTGCAGGGAAGTAATCGTATTCAGTTATACAGCAGTTGTATTTATAAAGGTTTAATATAAGTGAAATTTACACACTTTATGCAATATACAAATAAAACACGAGTCTTTATTAATGCCACTGTGGGTCACAATATATAAGGTATCTGTGCTGTTCTTGATTTGAGAGTGAAGTGCTGCGAGGGACAGCAGGCCCTTTTAAACCCCCAAAACCAACCCCTTGATGTCCAAAGGTCGGTATTGGCCTGTAACCTCTAACAGACCTCATCGTTGAATGGGCTTAGCTAACTTCCAACAAATAATATTTTAAAACAATCGCTTCGTCCAAGCACACACTGAACTCTACTGTTTTCTTGTCCTCCACCTCTATATCGTCCCCCAGAATAAAGAATCAGCACCTCTGTTAATTTCTAATTCCAGTAGATGGTGTTGGCTGCTGAATAAAGGAAATACAAGGCGATTCACCCAACAGTTGTCGCCCCTGAATGCATACATGCATCGCTCATCAGCAAGGGGTTAATCCCCGAATCTTCGATTTTCGGTGTTCCGAATTCCCAGCCACTCGAATCCGGAACTTGCCACGGGGAGCTGCCTCGATCCGACCGAAATTCCGGATGCCGAATTTCCGAAGTTGCCGAATTAAATTCCCAACTTGCCAAATCCTCGAGCCCGCGAACTCGAAAACTGCAAGCTTTCCCGACATTTCCGACCCGGGCCGAGTTCCTCGCGGCCGTAACCGAGCCACGTTCCAAGACAATCAAACTTCCCGACGAGCCATTATCGTTCTAAAAGCCGAAAAGACACGGACGACGTTTCTCATCGAGGAGCGAAACCCGCGACCTCGATTTTCGCGAAATTCCTGCGCCGCCAGGTCGTTAGAGCCTCTTCTCGCTCCGCTCGACAAATGCGCGTACATTCACCGGAGATTATCCCTGCGAGGACGTCTCGGTGACACATCGATCCGCAGATTCCGAGCTGCTTAGACTTTCGTTACGAATACCGGGGTGACGAGCATCGAAGGACTCTATCTGGGGAATAGTAAACAGCGACACTGTCTTCGACTTAGGAGCTTAGGACGATGCCTGGACGATGCGTGCGAAAGGATGAGATATTTGTGACTGGGTCGAGTGATTGAGAGAGAAAGCCTGTGTATGAAAAGAGGGAGTTTTGACTTGAAGTAAGGGTGCAAGGGCGCGGGCGAAGCAGATTGCGTGTAGTGGAGATGTAGTGAATAGAAGATCGTGTGTTTGAGAGTTAGAATCGAGAGGAATTTAGTGTAACATGTTAATTAACCCTAAATTTACGGAACCCGTCAATTTGACGGAAGGGTTGCTCCAATTATACGATGGTAATACATACAGTTAACTTATATCGTGAGAGGAGTTGTTTAGGAGGTATCAAGGGGGTATCGCGTCGTTCCCTTGATCTTCCTGGTCGCGTGGTTTCCGCCCGAAATAATTCGTCTTCGCGGTTGTAAGTCGCGAAGATATCCCGATGTGGATGGACGGTTCGACGCGACACGGTATCTCGTCGACTTAACGAGGAGATACGAAAATCGTCTCGTGTTATAAGAGACCTGTCGTCTCTGATGTTTCGTTCGGAACTCGTTGGAAAGAACCGATGTCTTTGAGCGCTCGTTCGGAAGTGTCTTTGACCAAGGGCGTTCCCTTGGTCCGCGAATCCGTTACCTTGGAGCGAGGGAAGGTTCCCCCGAAAAACCACGATAGTGGAGGAAACCCTCTCCTCCAAGGTGGGGTACCTGGGGTTCACCCGCGCGCCGGTGACCCCATCGGCCGTTTGTTACCCCTAGCGAAGGCCTGAGGCTTCCAACGTGTGCGGACCACGTGGAGCCCTCAGGCCTATTGTCAGCCAAGTCTTAAGAGCCGTCGCCTAATTTCGTTAAATTAGGGATTTCCAGGATTCTCGTGTTCCGCGACACGAGAAGTCAAAAGAAAAAAGGTACAGCAGTCAAACATGCTGAAGGCATGGAGCGGGAAATTCCGATGCCGAATTGTTCGACCCTAAGACCTGGCTGTTGGAAGACCGATTTAAATTTAAATGATAGAAAATTATGGTCTGACCATATCTAGAACTGTTTTGTTTTTTTCAATGTGTTTTTTGAATACTTCTTGCAATTCTTCATCAGTGTACAGACCATTGAGTACTATTTCGTGTGTAATTTCGTACATAAATTTTGCACATTTCGCTTCTTCGTCTATTATGTGTAATTTCTGATTATCAACCAAATTACTGCGGCCTTGTGTTGTTTCATAATTTCTGCTACTTCTTGACGTGCTAACTTCTGACGAAAGCTGATTGTTTTGTGATAAAAAATCGGAACCAGATTCATAAAATATCGAATTTCCTTCGTGTCTGCGTATATTTTTATATTAATATAAGTTATTAACATAATCGTAAGTAATAAATACCTATAATTTAAATGAATTTAAATCACAATTTTCCTATCGTAAAATGTTGTCTTACCTATTTTGAATTTTGAATGTAGTTTTTGCACTCGAAGGATTAAACAGCTTTTCATGATTAGCAAAGACTGTTAGCCCTTTGCACTCGAGGATTCTGTGGCTAGAGAAGAGTAGAAAATCAAAGATTCTCTAGTAAAAAACTGACGATACTTTTTTGAGCAGTAAATAAAGAATTGCATAATAATAGAATTATAGAACTATTTGATTTCGATACTTTGCACGCTATGCATACATATATTTATTAATATCGATCTTCCAAATTTTATGAAATGATGACTGAAGCTCACCTCTCGAGAGCAAAGGGTTAATACAATATACAATTGTTTTTATATTAAACTAATCGTTAAAAAAAAGGCACGTGGTTTCCTTTACTTGTCAATTTGACAGGTGTCCTTAGAAATAAGTATACAGATATCGTCCGTAAACCCAGTGTTAAATAAACCAGTTTTACTATTAAAAGGGAGTTGTTGTTCATTAGTCGGGCAGATCTCGGTCTGCATAGCTAGAGATCCTACAATACTAATTTTATTTCATTTAAATTAAATAAAACTTGTATGCAACGTGGGTTTATTTTATCATCTAAAATCCTGCGCCGCAAAGAGTTAACCGAAAGAGACACAGGAGCATGCCGCGGGGAAATAAATAATTATCGGCGCGGTGAAACGGTTATTCGAAATGAAATGTTTGGCAAGCGACACGCGTGTCCATTTGGAAGGGATTACAGGAGCGTTTATCCGGAGGCCCGCGACACCCGTGGTCCGTTAGTCAAACTGCCACCCCTTTTCCTAAAGCCGAAGCGCGCAGAGCGAGGGGTGGCCCGGTAATCTGTCCCGCATTCAACTCGCGCCCCAAACCGATCCTCGCCCCTTGGTGCCCACCCCTGGTCGCCGCCTTGAACACGTATCGTTTCTCTCTGCTGCGTAGAAGGGGGCGCAGAAGGCCGCGCGAGGGT